TCGTAATATTTCTTTAAATCGAGAAAGGCCGAGCCCGATTCGAGATGCACTAAACGAGCGTAGTGCGACAGAGCATTGTCAAACCATGCGCTTTTGGCACATGACGTGGCCCGGCTTTGGCCCCAAAAGAGCGGCAAGCTGATAGTATTTTTCCCCATTTCGCGCACTCCCGAAAGCGAATCTTGGACCACGCCCGGGCCTCTAACGGAAGGAGGCCAATCGGCCGCCTTCCCCCAGTCGGCTTGTCGAGAAAAACAATAAGCGCCAACCAAAGTTCAGTAATTTCGGGGTCCTGCTCCCAGGCGTTCAGAATGTCAGCGAATCGCTGCGCGAATTCTCGCGGCAGCTGTTTGATGACGAGGAGGAGGAGGAAGAAGAAAAAGAAGGAGAAGAAGACGAAACATAATACTAATCATACTATTAATAAGCATAATTATAAGCAGAATACTAATCATAAATATACTTAACGTAATTAGAAGACGAATAATAATAATACTACTACCAATAATAATACTAATAATAATATGCATACTAATAATACTAATCATACTAGTAATAAGAAGAAACATAATCAGACGCAGAAGCATAATAATAATAAACATACGCATAATAATAAAACTAATAAGAATAATAATAGCAATAATAATAATACGACGATGGTTAATAAGAATATGAATAATAATAATACTAAGGTTAAATATAATAATAATAATACGAATACTACTAACAATACTTATACTAAGAATACTACGAATAAGACAACTAATAATAATAGTAATAATACTAATAATAAGAGAAAGAAGAAGAATATGAAGAAGAAGAAGAAGACGAATAATAAAAATAAGAAGACGAATAAGAAGAAAAAGGAGGAGGAGGAGGTGGAAGGGGAGGGGGAGGAGGACGAGGAGGAGGAGGAGGAGGAGGAGGAATATGTAGAGGAACAGGAGCAGGAGCAGGAGCAGGAGCAAGAGCAGGAGCAGGAGGAGGAGGAGGAGGAGGAGGAGGAGGAGGAGGAAGACAAACGGAGGAACGCGGGGAGCGGAAACGGGGGGAGGCGGAAAAAACAGGGAGGGACAAGAGGACGGGCCAGCGTTGCAATGATATTCGCCGTGGGCAGGTGACCAGGGCTTCGGCATTTCGCTTGCGTGCTTCTGCCGTGGAACCATCGCAAATCGGCCTGGCGCGTACAGATGCAAGTTGGCGGGGTCGATCGGGATCTCTTCGGCACGAATGGTCGTTTCTTCCTCTTGCTCCTCCTGCTGCTCGTCTTTTTTGCTTGCAATGCGACACGCGCTCGCAGGTCGAGTTTCCGCCCCCCCCACCCCCTGCTTGAGGCGAGAGGGGGTTGAGATATAGGGGAGGTCCGGGAATGGCAGGTGCAGAAAACGTCTCCTGATATCTTCGGCAGCGGGCCCCAGCCGCAGGCCAAGTGGCGGCGCTGCCTCCTCCCTCCTACATGCGGCGGGCGCGGCCCCACCGTCCTTCAAAGCGGGACGCAAACGGGACACTTCCCCTTGGTGCGGCACGCGCGCAAACGGTGCGCCGGCGGTTGCTTGCACTCCCCCCACCCTGCTTTTGCTTTTATTGCTGGTCCTTCCCCTACATGTTGCCAGGGTCCAGGCCCGCATTCGCCCCGCCCGCGGGCCAACGGGTGGCGCTGCCTCGTCCCCTCCCCACTGCTGCTGCTCGTTTTTCTGATGCTCCTCCCCCGCCAGCTCTACCACACCAGGTCCACCGCTTGCACCAGGCAGGATCCTCCGGGGGTGTCAGCAGAGTGATTACGTGGAAATAAATGACCACTTCGGGTTCAGGAGAGGCTCTCGCGTTCGGGCCTTACCTTCGATGTATCTCGTGGAACCCAATCGTGTCCGCGGCTTGCCCCTTGGGCAGAAAATGTTCAACGTTCCCCGTGTCAGCAGGATGACCGCGGTGTTCCCCAGTCCCAACGGGGCTGGGATAAAACGCGCGGGAATGCCGTGGGGTCGTGTGGTGCCAGAGGTGTCCCTGGGCTCAGGTGTCCCTGGGACCTCTAAGGAGGCCCCGCGGCCTCCAGAGCACCCCTCGCCAGGCCCAGATGGCCCCAGGCTTTGCAGCATGGAGCGAACAGCTGGGGACTCGCTGGGCCAGAGGACCCTCCCCCGACTGGGCGCCGCACGGCGGAGGTGGCCGCCCGCGCCTGCAGGCCCCCTCCCCTCCTTGCCCCTCGTCCTCCTCCGGCTCCTGCTGCCCGCCCTGCTCCTATTCCCCGTGTTCCCTGCTGCTCCTGCTCCTACCCCTCGGGGTTCACTCGCGACCCGACCGAACCAGTTGGATGCCGGTATCGGCTGGCCCGATCAGGGTTCGATTTCGATGTTCCGACGACCCGATGCGGCCCGATGCCTGCGCGTGCCGCGGCTGTGCATCCCAGCGCGCCCGACCAGGTCTGCTCCGTGCCGATGCAGCCCGAACTCGATGCGCGTTCCGATCCGATCCGATTTGTCGATTCGATGGCGACCGCTCTTGGCCCTCCCCTGCTCCCGTTCCAGCTCGGGCTCTGGTTCCTGCTTGCTGCGTGCTGCCGCTGTTCGGCTGCCTGCCCGATACCTGGGAGGCGTGCGGTAGGTGCGGCGAATTGGCTCGACAGCGGCAGCGCTGGAGGGCCCCCTGGCAGCCGTCCAGTGGCCCAAGCAGTGGCCGGGGCGGAGCCCTTTTGGGCCAGGCCTCTCGCTGGCGGAGGGCCTCCAAGGGGTGACCTCGGAGCTTGAGGGCGGGAGCAGTGGAGGGGAATGTGTGTGTGAAGTCCGCTCATATCACCTTTCTATCCATCTTCCCTCCCACCGTCTCGGCTCAGGTACTGGAACAGCGCCGCTTGCCCGCGGCGCATCGGAAAAGGGATCGCTACCCTCTCCCTAACCTTCCTCCACCTACGGACAAAACTGTAGGTTCGACTCTTCGGTCGTTGACCGATACCCACAGGTTATCAGCCTATTCTATTTCGCTCTCCGTTGTGACACCCCGCGCCGTCTGTGATTCAGCCGCATGGCGCTGGGCCCCCCGGGGACCAGTGCCTGTATGCGCGCTGGATCTTCGACGGAGCGCGGGCGTTACGACGCCACGGAGAGGGCAACGGGGCAGAGCATGATACCGCAATCTTCCCTCGATGCGAAAGCGGCGCCGGTGTTCGAATTGAGGCGGAACTCGAAGCAGTCATGGGGTCCTTCCTGCCTCCCGCGCCGGCGCCATCTCACGCACCAGGGCTTGGACACGCTAGGAGTTGGACATGGCAGGGCTTGGACACGCCATCGTTGACGCGGCGTCGTTTTCCATTTTTCCGATCCTTTGTTCTCCCAACCTCGTCGCCTGTGGAGACGGGGGGTCGTTCAAGTATGCCGAAGCGTTTTTTGGGGGCGCGCCCTGGGCCCGCTTGAAGGTGGGTAGACCCTCCCAAGTTGCCTGCGTCACGTGGTTGGTCCTCTTCTCTTTTTCTTCGCCGTTGCGGCCTCGTTTGGAGGCGGCGGGGGATGGAAGGGTGCATTGGGCGGACCTCGCACCTCTTATCCCTCGTTTGGAGCGGGCGGGATATGGGACGGTTTGTGTGTGTGAGAGAGAGAGAGTGTGCGTGTGCGCGCGCGTGTGTGTGTGTGTGTGTGTGTTTGTGTGTGCACGTGTGCGCGTGTGCGTGTGTGTGTGTATGTGTGTGTGTGTGTGCGTGTGCGTGCGTGTGTGTGCGTGTGTGTGTGTGTGTGCGTGTGTGTGTGTGTGTGTGTGCGTGCGTGCGTGCGTGCGTGTGTTTAGTCCGCGCATATCACCTTATCTGTCCATATTCCTTGCTTCCGTGTCGGCCCATATACTGGAACAGCGCCGCCTGCCCGCGGCGCATGGGACAAAAACCGATACTTCCCCTAGCCTTCATCTACGCGCGGACATCGCTGCAGGTTCGACTCTTCGGTCGTTAACAGATGGTCAGGGGGCCGAAGGTGGATAAACAACCCCGACCATAAACCCACGGGTGGCGTTTGCTGAACGGCCTTGAGCGTTCTTCGGGCAATTTTGTCCCGCTCGATCCCTCGCTTCGGCTCGTGAAAACAGGAAGGGCCTCGCCCATAGGGGTGACAATTCCGCGGGTTCCTCCGCCCTCATGAGGGGGGACGTGGGGACTGCTCGGTCAGGCGATGGATGTCCGAAGTGCACCGCGGCCCGCCCTTCCACCAGGATCTGCCAGTAGGACCGGCCTGCGACCACGGGCGAACCCTACCTCTGCAGGTCCGCTTGGCGCTGGGGTATCTGACACCCCCGCTAGTTCACTTGGCTGCAGACATCCTTCGAATTGTGAACCTCGGCTGGCATTGCAGACGTGTGGTTCACGGTTCACATGTGCCGCCAGGGACGGGGCCGAACGACGGAAATTGCGGCAGCCGAAAGCAGCCACCGGGGCGAGAGCTGGCCCAGGCAAGCATTATTTGGGCCAGGCTTTTCAGCTTTAGCTGAGCTCCCACACAGGGCCAACGGAGGCGCGATCCTCCAACACAATCAGCTGTGGCCACAATTGGTGGGCCATCCGTTTCCGGTCACGGACCCTCCGCCCTCGAGGAGACGCTTCGACGAGACCTGGATTGACAGGTCAGTTCGGGGGTGCCTGCTTGCTTGCGGGAGACCACCTTGGCTTCCCAGAGTCAGGACCTTCATGGGGCGGATTTTTCACTTTTCATCCCGAGCTGGCTCTTGACGGCCCTGGGTCCTTGCGATGGCCCCTGGATTGTGAAACATGCCAAACATCTCTTGTTGTGATTGTTCCGCGCGAGAAAGACCCCCACTTCGGTGAAAGGCGTCATCGCTCCCACAAGGGAAACCACCTTTACCGACGGGTTTTACGATGCCTCCCCGTGCTATGGATGAAGAATGTCTCGAGCGATAAGGAGGGACCACACCACCACACCACCAGGAGGACCCCCCTCGGCGCCTCGCGGTGGTGGTGGTGGTTTCGCTTTCCCGTGTTCCTTCCACTGGGGCCCTCGCCGCCGGCGGGCCGCGGTTGCCGCCCTCCGCGACCCGCGAGCGTGGCGCGCGCGGCGGCTGCAGATGCCCGAGGGGGCCCTGGGCCGGCTCCGCCTGCTCCCGGCCACGCCCGAGGGAACTCCAGAGCGGCTCCGCGTGCTCTCGCGGCAGTCGGGAGTGTAAGGGAAACGGGGGGATCGGGTCGGACGAAGTGGGGGGAATGGGGAAAGGGGGGCTTGCGAAATCTGCCCCGTGCAGCTGGTTTCGGCTCCGCCTTCGGGCGCTTTCGTCGATACAATGGCGTGTCCGGCGCAGGGAGGCGCGAGGGATTCCAGCTGATTGCGTGAGCTGGTTCATGAGGCCCCCTTGAGTTGCTGATCCCCCTTACGTCGGACCCGAGATGAGTATGGGAGAGGGCCAGCGGGGTGAGGAGGAGGAGGATCCCCGAGGAGGAGGAGGAGGAGTAATAATAAGGAGGAGGAGGAGGAGGAAGAGGAGGAGGAGGACCAGTGCAAACCCAAGGTGCACCAACGATGCTGCAACACACCGACCCGTCTCAAGTCCCCGCTTCGTCAGTCCTTGCATGTCTTCCTTTCCAAGAGAGGGGGCGCTCCTTTGAAAGACTGGCCCTCCATGGGCCTGCCATTCGGGCGAGACCTCCGTCTTGAAGGGGACTTCGCAAGGGTATCAGTCCAACGCGGTGTCCAGCGAGATCCCCGCTTTGAAAAGAGCTCCTCCCCTGTCTGTGTAGCTCTTCTCTTGCATAAGCGTGGACCTCTGGTCATCAGCGTCGAGGCAGGCTCAACTGATAGCCCTATTTTGAAAAGGAACCGTCCTCCATCCGTGCAGGTGTTACGTATGTTGGAGGTTTCTGGTCGTTAGATTCAACGAAGTCTCAAGCGAAAGCCCCATATTACCCCCCCCCCGCATCCCTAAATATGCTGCACACTTTGAGGACGAATGTGCGCGGCCCTACGGCGAGAGCCCCATCTTGAAAAGGATCCGCCATCCTTGAAGCTGATCTTGTTTAATCGTTTCGCTCATTCCGCCCGCCCGTCTTGTGCCATCGCAGGCGTTTGCTTGCAGGTTCGTGGCCTCTTGGGGCCTCATGGGGCCTGTCGGGTGCCGTTTGGGAGCCTCTTGGGGCCTCTGTCTGGGCCTTTTTGAGGCCTCTTAGGGCCTCCAGGTGGCCTCCTGTGCTCTTTTGGAGGCCTCTTGGGGCCTCCTGGTTGCCTTTTGGGGCGTCCTGGGGGCCTTTGGGGGCGGGAGGCTCGGAGTGGTGGTTCGTGTTCCCCCTCGTGAGGCCGTCTTGGGCCCTCTTGGGCGATCTTGGGCGCCTCCGGGGCTGTTTTGGGGCCCTCTTGGGGGCCTCTCGGGCCGTCTTGGGGCAGTCTTGGGGGCGCCTGGGGCCGTTTTCGGGCCCTAATGGACCGTCTTGGGGCCCTCTTGGTGGCCTCTCGGGCCGTCTTGGGGCGGTCTTGAGGGCCTTCGGGGCTATCTCTTCGTGTCGGAAACCCGAAAACTTAAAACGCGAGAACGCACAAAACATAGAAGACACACAGAACATTAACGATTGTTGTTTTGTTTGGCCCTCTTGGGGTCCTCATGGAGCCTATTGGGCCTTCTTGGGGCCATCTTGGGCGTCTTGGAGCGCTCTTGGGCCGTGTTTCCAATTCAGAGGCCATTTTGGAGCTGCCTTACTCTAAAGTGAGCTGGGGGACGTACGGGGCGGAAGCGAGCGTGCGCCCGCGGCCGTCTTGGTTCAAAGCGGCCGGCCGCCTAGATTTGAGTGTGCCTCACCGCGAGGCACACTATCGCTATCGAGACTAAAAGGAATCCCCTTTTACTTGACATGGCATCCCCTCTTGCGTTGGGACTGTCGCTACTACGATACAGCCGAGCTGGAGCTTGGCTTCGCCTGAGGCGAAGCTGTTGGCGGGGCCTCCCAGCCCCCTTCAAACTTGGTAGCGGAGCTGGCCTATGGTGGTCAGCTCTAGCTCTACTGCTCACCATCCACGGCACTATCTGGTGGACTACAGTTACGGTGGAATATCAGGGTGCAGTGGCATTGCGCGGAGGAGTGTACGTAGATACGCAGGACCGCAAGGAACCTTGCAACGAGCGGCGCCTCTGCTCCAGCGGAGGTCTCTTACTCATATTCTACATCCCTGCGGCTTTACACTCGTGAAGTCCACCCGCCTACTTCAATATGATATTTCTTCGAAGATATGATGCATGGAAACATGCGATACGATACACTGCCGCCTCCGACCCCTCGCAGACTTACGACGACAAAACACCAGTCTCCACCGACTACACCCGACTACTTCCTAGGTCATTAGATTGGGGTTATTATCTTTGGGTTCATATGGGTCGCTCTTGGATGTGCGGTGGGACATATGCGGGGCGGAGACGACACCAGGACGACCGGCCCCCATTGGGAGCCTGCCGGTCAAGTACAATTTCGCGACACGCCTGGATCAACGTGACCACAGGCAACGCGGCGCCCTCCCAACAGGCCGCCGCGCTCCAGCGCGGTCTTGGAATGCTCGCACGGACCATAGCCATGAGAGCTCCCCCAGCAGTCATCAATTTTGGTGTCAATACAGGTGGTCGCCACACCGACGGCGTCACCTACATGATGTCCCCCTTAAGCACGAAGTTCGAGAACCTAGAAGAGGAACGCCAACTCAACTCTGGCACGGCTCTCATTGACTTTCGTGTCCATGCGGGAGTAAGAACCGACCAGTCGTTAGCACGGTTCGAGATAGCCCGCTACGAAGCCGAAACCGCCGGCTTCAACATCCCCAACTTCCAGATATTATCAGCAATCTTATTCAGAGCTCTGGGAGTGGGGGCGTCGCGGGCACAGCAGCTCCTGCAGCCCCTGCACCACCGTATGCCGAGGGACCAAGCACAATTTGATGCTCTCCTCGAACGTATGAGGTCATATGCTCACATAGCTGAGAGAACCCCGGGCAATATCGGTTGTATTAGTAGTCGTTGTCACAGAACCGAGACCTTCCGTACAGAGGCCAATGCAGGGCAACTTGCTAACAACGTCTGGAACGATGATATGCCGCCGTCTGAGACCACTACAATGTTGGCCCAGACTGGCGGCACGGCCTCGGGGTCTCAAGACCCCTGGGCCAGGTCTAGGGGACCGCCCGACGCGGTTCCCCCAGTACAAGCTATGACCCTAATGGGCTCTGCGGGGCAACCCGCCGAGTCCGATCCCGACTCCGGGACCGATGCCGGTGCGTTTTTTGATGATGAAACTACCGCGCTGGACTACTCTGATATGCCTACATACCTTACTGAAGAGCAGCAAGCTCAGTGGTGATTTTTGGGCTATCACAAACACAAGCGTCGTTGGCGGAGATTCATGAAGAAACCAGTCAGAAGGGCAAGACGCATGGCACGGCGGACACTCAAAGGAAAAGTCAAGGGTCTAAGTAAAGGCAAAGGTATAGCGTTGGCGACTACACGGCAGAGGCATGCTAGAATTCCTAGTATCTCTCACTTGGCCTCAGTATGAAGAAATGTTTTCAGGTGCTGGCAGGGGCCGTAGGCATGCGCCAGGCAAAGGTAAAGGACGACGAGGGAATCCAAAGGATGCCAACGGTAAGACTGTGGAGTGCGACATATGCCATAGTACACAACATTTCCGACGCGAATGCCCCCAAGGCGATGGAAGAGGCTGGGGTCCGTCAATGCATTGGGCTCGAACGGACTCCGACATGCAGTGCGTCGACTGGGAGTCGCTTTTGGCCGACCCTGCTGACGGCTCAGCCATAGTCATTCATTTCATGGCTGCCAGGTATTGGTGTGCCAGCGTGAACCTCGAGAATTGCGCCGACGAGCTGTTCGAAGAGGCGTTCACCGGCCACGGCGGTATTGACTTGGCAGAGTGGCTGGGCATACCCATCGCGGGGAAACCTGCAGATCTTGAGTCTGTCGAGAACTTCCACGTGCCGGTCGAAGGTGACTCTGGCACACCCGCGGACTCTGATTCTACCATTCCTGCAGCGGATGCAGAAGTGCATGCCGTGCTTTATCCTCCGGTGATTGGAAATCCGACAGACGCGGAATCGATCGATGATGAGCCATTGCGGGGGAGCCCGCGTGACGTTGGCGACCTATCTGAACGTGTTCAATATTGGCTTGTACATAATGAAGAATTCCAATGCACTTTTGTTTCGTCAGGTCGGTCTGCTAGCAGCCCGATGCAATCGCCAAGCCGCGTGCCCTTCATGAGGAAAATGAAATATCACGACGACCCAAGTCTTTCGCCAATGGACGACGAAGATGAACAGGATGACCGCGTGGCACCTCGCGGTCGAGCTCTTAGTTTTTCTCCAGATCGGGCGCGAGCCCGCTCCAGTGGCGCTCGTTCGAGCGGCGCTCAGCGCCCTCATCTTCCTGAGGCGGGGGCCTCAAGTGGCCCGCCAGGGAAGACGCCGAGAGCGCATGCCCCCCCAAGGAGGGGGCGACCGCGGGGAGACCCGCCCCAAGTCGATCAGCATCGGGGAGAAGAGCATCCATAATGCCAATTACAGCGTTTACAAGGCTGGAACAAACCTGGATTGGCTCGTCAGCACATACCTGCAGAGACGATGGAATACTGGTTGGATAGAGGTGAAACGAAGGTCCAATCCGACACTGGTATTCCCTTCGCCAAGCTAAACAAAACGATGATGGTGCTATCGTTCGTTCAACGAAGGGACAAACTAAAACGCATGAAAACATGATCGTGCGTGATCACAAAAGGGCCATCATCGAGGATCGAAAGGGGGAATCGAGGCGTTTGCTGCACATGTCCCAGCCATGCCGGTCACAGGTTTGGCTGCCCCATGAGACGCCCATCAAGAAGTCCGAATTTCAATTACTCCGACGGAAGGACCCCACATGATAATCTGTTTTGCGTGCCTTCTCCTTCTCCTCCTGGCCATGGCAAACACCCTCCTCTCGCCCTCTCCTCTGCCCTCTCTTGTCCTTCCTTCTTCTATTTCTCCCTTCCCCCTTCCGTCTACCTTCCCTTACTCCTTCTCCACCTCCTCCTTATCATGGCCCTCCCCCATGCCCACCCCCTCCGCATCTTCCTCCTGCCGCTTTTCTACGTGCACCCCCCCCTCCCCCTGGGCGGGGCAAGTAAGTCGATGTTCCT